TAAAATAAGACTTTAAGAATTTAATTAATTCAAGACTCGAGATTCTTATCTTCTTCTCCTCTAGTTCTCTTCTGACCGTATATCTTCAATATATATCGCAGATGGCAAGAAGTTGTTGACTCCTCAACCTCGACTGAGAACAGGTTTCTTCTCGATTCTTGAATCCAGTATGTTAACTTTGGATACCATGAGGGAAGCCTGCACGTCTGTTGGTGTTGCCAAGCATGGACGACCGATTGGGTTAGATGAAAAGATAAAGGTAGATCTTATTGTTATTGGATCAGTTGCTGTTGACCCAAGTACAGGGGCTCGATTGGGAAAGGGAGAGGTAAATTTACATGTCTTTTAATTTTATTATGGCCATGTTAAATCTTTTTGTTCACTTATCGATTAAAAGGCTAAAACTACAAAATTAGATTTTTAATGCTTGGCAACCTGTATGATCTTTGGTTTAAAATTTTTCTTTGACTTTCTATTTGCTTACATATCATGAAACTTCTTGCCCATGAAATATACCTCGTGGAAGGAAACCAACCTCAGTCTAGTTTCAAAGCTTCCGTGAAACAAAAATCCCTACTTTCCTCTGACGTTGTATGAGTGAGCCTTGAGTGACCTTTTAATCTATTAATGGACTTTTGAATTTAAATGTTCCTTCAACAAAGATGATTTGAACTGCAGGGATTTGCAGAACTTGAATACGGTATGCTGAGGTACATGGGAGCCATCGATGATTCAACACCAGTTGTTACCTCAGGTAGTTTTGGTTCCTAACCTGCCTTCACCACTTTTGTGAGCCCGTCATTTTAAACTTTTCTCTTGGACATTTTGGAAACACAATTTCAACAGTTGAAGTACCTGCATGTATAACACTCAGTTGAAGTTGGTTATGGATTTTAAGAAAAACATTTTTCTTTTAAAAGAATTATATACCCTGTATGCTTGATATTATTTCTGTTTCCACATATGATTCTCTAGCCTCTTATATTTAGAAAGGTTTATTTGGGTCGAACATATTTGGGTTGCAAAACGATATTGGGCAAATAGTTTCCTTGCACTAATACTGACATGCTAACTGAATTTTGGTGCAATATATTCCTCAATCAGTTCCTCCATACATACCATATTGTAATGTGCAGCCCAATTCATTACTTTTTTATTGTTGTCTTGTGTAAAATTTGCAATTTGTCTTCTTTTGTATGTAACATTGAGAACAACCCTTGCAGTTCATGACTGCCAATTGGTGGACGACATTCCAGTCGAAAAGCTACTAATCCACGACGTACCAGTGGATATCATTTGTACTCCAACACAGGTCATTTTCACACACACGACTATTCCAAAGCCTCAAGGTTGGTGAAACAATGCGACCTATCTGTCTTTACGTCTTTTTCTTACCCTTTAATCTCTAAATCATTGAGATGTCAACCATGAACTCTGTAGCATCAGTTTATCTTTCCCTTGTTGGATGTTCATAACTTGTGATATTTGTTAAAAAAACTTATTTGCTGTAGGGATTTACTGGGACAAGTTGTCTCCTGAGAAGCTTGGACAAATTCGTATACTGAGGGAGCTCAAGAAGAGGATTGAACAAGAGACTGGAAAGAAGCTTCCTACTGGCCCATCAGAGAAATTACCACCCACTGCTCAACGAAGTCGCAGGGGTTAGTTATATACATGTAAGTTTTGATGGATTTATGTATATATTAGAGGTGTTTAGTGTTAAGTAATGAGAAAACTGAATATTTAATGTTATAATTGTTTACTTGTATATATAACATCGTTGTTTTAGCAAAAGCGGCTATGTAAAGACCACTTCATCGAAATAAGCATTTTCAATCCATCTGAATATTGTTTATGAAGCCTCGGATGGGGAAGACTCCAATTCTTATTGTTGAAACTATCTAGACGATGAGTTGGGATGAATTTGTGTTACCTAATTTTAAATTGTCAGGCTTATTTAAGCTCTCTGTGAGCAAGGTTTTTTTTTTATCACTATTTATAAGAAAAAATCTAGAAAAAATAAGTTTTCTATGTATTAAAATTAATTTATGAATAAGTTAAAAAATCAATTAGAGAAGCTAAGTTCTTATAATTTTTTCAAAAAACTGATTTTAACTTCTAAAAAATTTAATTTATTTGTTTTTTTTTAATTCCTTTTTGTGAGTGCTTTTAAAAAAAATTACTCAAACTAGTTTTTGTTAGACAAATGAGAAAAATTTAATAGGTTGAATTTTATTTGAGATTGTTATGGTAATTTTACTCCATTTCCATCATGTTCCACCCACCATTTGATATTTATCCAATTTAGTATATTTCACGAATATTTATAAATACAAAAATATTAAAAAAATATAAATTAAAAGCACGATTTAGATATAATTTTAGTACCTATCATGTATCCCTTTTATCCCGACAATTTTGATTATTATAAAATTTTTTCTACAATTTTAATACTTAATGACTGTTTTAGTCCTTATAAAATCATAAAATTTTGATACCAATCCCTTTTATATTAGACAATTCTTATTTAAAAAGCTTAGTTTTTTTTTCTTCTCTCTCTGACTGGCAAACGTTTAAGTCTGGATTAGTGATAAAAGACTAAATTCATAAAAAAGTTTGAAAGGTCTATAACTTATAAATATTTTTTATTTCAAAAATATGTAAGATAAAATTAGTTTAATTTTAAAACATATGCTTGGTGTCAACTTGAAAAAAAATCCCAATCTAAGATAAAGAAATTAAAATTTTCATTAATTAAACAACTAGTGAAGAAGGACATTATTGATTTGATCTAATATAAAAATTCATAAAGAATGTCAGAACATCATCATGCAAGTATTTACATAAGAATGAGATTGCAGGAAAATGTATCCTATTGATAAAGATGACAATTAAAATTTTTTAAATCTAAAGTAGGATATTTAACAATTTACCAGAGTTAATTTTTCCACACCATGTCCAGTAAGGGGATAAATTATTGAAATATTAAGAGCAAGGTTTACTATTAAAAAAGTATTTATAATAATAGGTAGAAGGGTTGCTCAGTCCCTTTTACTTTGGATGATGATTATATATGGTTTTGTTGTTAGAGATGAATAAAGTGTATGAAAAGTAAGTTGTTTGCAAGTAGAATTTTTAACATTAACCAAATGTTTGTATAATTCGGGAGTGCATTTATATATTGTGCCCTTTTTCATAAGAGTCACCAAGGTGATGCACATAAAAATTGTTGAGTTACTACAATAGTTGAGTTCCACAACACAAACACCATGATAATTGCATAATTACAAGATAGTATTAAAAGTTATGTGAATAGAATTTTAGAGAAGATTGAAAGAGTAAATGAAGAAGTCTTGAAAAGTAAGGTGAATTTTACTGGCATAATAGAAAGTCGAAGTGAATTAAAGGTCATGAAGGTGGAAAGTTAAATTTTAGAAATAGAGATTCTAGCAACTTTAAAGAAAGAGGTGGACACAATTTCAATCTATCAATCGTGAAAGAGGAAGATGGGGTTTCAACTACTAAGAAAGGACAAATTTTAGTTATTACCAATGTGGAAAGTTCAGGCACATGTTTGTAGACTCCAAATTCAAACAACAAATCATTAGGATATTGGTGAAAGTTATGATAATACACATACTTTACTTCTAGTAGCAAATAATCTTGCAAGCAATGAAAATATTTGATACTTAGATACTAGTTGTAGTAACCACGTGTTGGGAAAATGTTTTATTTTCCTCACTATATAAAGTGGTAAAATTTATTGAGAAGTTTGAAAATAATATATATATATTTTAATTTTGGGAAAAAGAATAATTGCCATCAAATTAAAAGATGGTTCTTAGGATTTCATCTATAATGTTTTCCATGCTCATGGTCTTCATCAAAACGTGTTAAGTTGGGACAATTATCACAAAAAAAAACTACAACATGTAGATTAGTATTGGTTATTGTACATTGATTGATAAAAATAAGAGATTCATCACCAAGGATAAAATGAATTTTAATCACATGTTTTTTTAAGGTTCAATATACATAATTGTCTTGCTTAAGTTCTTTCATACCAAATGATGATTGGTTATGACTTATGCGCTTCAGAATTATCAATTTTTTGGATTAAGTTTTTTTATCTAGAAAAGTATATGTATCTAGTTTGCCTATTATAAACATTTCTGAAAATGTTTGTGAGACATGTGAAATTGGGAAAAAGCACAAAGAATATTTTCCAACTAGAAAGTCCTAGAGAGATAGAAAGTTATTAAAGATTATTCATTTAGATTTATGCATGGTTGAGATACCAACCTATGTCAGTAGTAGGTATTTCATTACTTTCATTGATGACTTTATAGCATAAAAGCTTGGGTATAGTTTTTGAAATAAAAATCAGAAGCTTGTGATGCCTTTAAGTCATTTAAGACATTTGTGGAGAAAAAAAGTAGCTGCAAGATTAAAGCACGGGAGCAGACAGATGGAGGCCAAGAATATATTTCTTGTGCAAATATCTTTGACCACCATGGGATTCAATATCAATTGACAACCAAATACACTCCTCAACAAAATGGATTGACATAAAGAAAGAATAGAAGAATCATGGACATGGTTAGATGCATGGTTAAAGCTAAACAATTGCCCAAAGTATTTTGGACATAAATAGTCTCTGCTACTGTGTCTATTTTGATTAGTGTCCAACAAAGATTGTTTGTGATAAAACACTAGAAGAAGCTTGGAGTGGAAGAAGACCCTTAATTTGACACCTCAAAGTTTTTAGATGTACAACATATTTCCATGTGCCAAATCAACTCAGAAAGAAGCTTAATGACAATGGAGAAATACATCTTCATTGGTTACAATACTAGCTCAAAGGCATACAAGTTTTACAATACAATGACAAGGAACATAGTTCTCAACAAAGATGAGACATTTCATGAAGAATGAATGTAGGATTGGTCTTCCAAAGCTCAAAAGGATTTTGCAGTAATTCCAGAAAGTTGTGAAGAGAAGAACGATCATGTAGATCCAACACTTAATGAGCCATAAATATCAAGCAGACCATAGAGGCAACACAAAGTACTAGCTAGATGGATGATTATGTATTGGGAAATGACAATAACCTATCTGATGAAAAATTATCAATTTTGCTTTATTTGTAAGTTATGAGCTTATAACATTTGAAGAAGCTTTGAATAATCAACATTGAAGAAAAACAATGGATGTTGAATTCCATGCCATTAAACATGGGTATTGATAGACTTACCAACAAGAAAAAGACCAATTGGAGTGAAATGAGTGTACAAAACTAAATACAAGCCTAATGGAGAAATTGATCACTTTAAAGCAAGATTGGTAGCAATACAAACAAAAACTAAGTATTGATTATTTTTAGGTATTTGCTCAGGTAGCAAGATTAGATAAAATTTGTATGATTATCTCTCTATCAACTTAAAACAATTGGAAAATTCACCAAATGGATGTTAAATCCTCTTTTTTAAATGATACTTTTAAAGATGAAGTGTATGTTGAACAACCTACAAGATATGAGATTCAAGGCAAAGAAGATAAAGTCTACAAACTGAAGAAGACATTATTTGGCTTGAAGCAGGCACCCAGGGTTTGGTATATAAATCTTGATTCTTACTTTATGCATAATGGTTTTCAAAGATGTCCGTTTGAGCATACTCTATATATGAAATCTTTTGAGCCTAATCATATTCTTATTGTATGCCTTTATGTTGATGATTTAATCTTTAATAACAACAACCCAAAGATAATTGCAGAATTTAGGGAAGCCATGATTAAAAGTTTTGAGATGACAGACTTGGTTCTAATGTCATGTTTTCATTGCATTGACGTCATTCAGAAAGATGATGAAATGTTCATTTTTTAGAAGAAATATGATGCACCACGTCGTTCATCCTACACGAACGTCTGCTTGCCCTCCTTTCGCTCCTAACCTGTAAAGGATTACGCAATTTCATAATGCTGCCTTTTTCGGAAGGCACGCATCTCCTCCATCCGAATAAACTCATCGCCCTCTCTTGTATTTCTCCCAAGGTTGTAGGTGGTTGTGCAGACAAGTTGTCCACAAAAGGACCAAGCCTTAAGGTCGTTGCTAAGGTTCTCATTATGAATTTTTTGCCAACATCCTTTATCTGCCGCATAGTTTGATTATATTGGTCCATAAAATCTCTCAAGGTTTCATCTTTTCTCTGTTTAATTTTTGTTAGCTCTAGATAAGTAAGATTTTGCGCTCGACTAGAAGCAAACTGTTGTTCAAACAAATTTCTTAGCATACCAAAACCGTCTATGGTACGAGGGCGAAGGGAATGAAACCACGTTAGGGCTTCTCCTTTAAGTGATTGGGAGAATACCCTACACCACACCAAATCATTAGGCGAGTATAACGCCATAGCGTCCACAAATGATCTAAGATGCTCCTCCGGATCCTCCGATCCATCGTATTTGTCAAATGTTGAAGGCATCTCATCTGGCGTTGACTCCTCCATAATAGCCATCGTGAATGGGTGAAGCTCATCGACCCGTATAATATTAGTCAGACGGGCTGTCCGGGTCCTGGAACTGTTTTCCTTCTGTGTCGTTCCCTCGGGTTCAATTTGAGCAAGCTCAACCGTTGGTGCATGGGTAGGCACTGCCGATCACTGAATTAATGTTCCCTTTGCCCTGCAACGCGCTTCGCATCTGCCTTTGCATCTCCTGGGCTAACGCCAACAAGTCTGGTCGTCCCGCCATTCTTATGGTCTCAATTGGGTTTCTTCTACTATCCTCGGTCCCACGGTGGGTGACAAAATGTTTCTACTGGATTGGGACGAGGATGGATCTTACTCACT